ATTCTAGTTTGTATCACCTCGGGTTGAGGTTTTCAAGGGATTACTAAGAGGCCATGAAGTGGATCTACTATGGTGGCATAATTTGAAGTATCTTACTCAGTAGACAAATACTCTATGTTGTATTACATTCTGTGCTATAAACATATGTTCTGCCGACTCTTAGATCCTGTTTCCCATTATGATGTCTCCAAGTACTTTATCCCCTCAGATGAAGTGGTATTATGCTTTAGCAATCAGCATGTTATCTTTATTTCTATATCCTAGAATATGTTGCTTTTCTTTTTTGGGTATTAGCAATCAACAGGTTACTTTTGTCGGATGGACTGAGGAATGCTATTTTCTGGAATTCCCCACATAACATTTGTAGATATTTTATAGTAATAGGAAGACATGATCAATTCCTTAATGAAATAGTCCGTCATTGTCTTTTCAAAAGGAAAGAAGGCAACTTATCAGGTTGCTGGGAGTAAGAACGAAATAAGCTGTTGGAACACATATTCTTGCTAAATGGATAGATCTAAGCATGGCACGGGCACAAGACCAACCTCTTCAGACTCTTGAACAAAAACAAAACAAACACAACATTAGCTCTTCTTTGTAGTGCCAGACTACCAGTAAGTATGGCTTCTCGGTCTCCAACAACAATTACTCTTCAACAGAACCCCAAGATTATTTGCTTCTCCCTTAAAACCCACTTCCAAAACTAATCTCTCTTCTTTGACAAATCGTTTCAGAAGTAATCCTGGAAGATGCCATGCATTTTTTGGCAACATCCCAGATGATTCTTGGACCAGTCATTTTCTCAAGTTCCAATTTTTCAATCTGGTTTGGTGGAATTTCATCGAGCTAACGAAGAACTATCAGATGTTCAGAGATGGGGGTTTCTTGCTTTTGCTGGGTTGACATGGATATATTTGACTGCAAGGCCTGGTGTTCTGTGTAGGTGCCATTGATGCATACGTTCTAGCTCCTCTGCAATTGGTTTTTGACAGCTTGATTGGAAGGAGGAACTTGAAAAGGACTGATTTTGTGATAGGGGATAAACTAGGAGAAGGGTCTTTTGGTATTGTGTATTCTGGAGTGATTGTTCCAAAGAATGTGACTGTTGAAGAGAGTGGACAGAGAAAGGGAAGAGGCAGATCACTAGAGTTAGATAGCAGGTTCAAGAGAAAAGTCATTCTTAAGAAGGTAGTTCATTCTACCATTGCTTTATAATAAACGTTTGTGTACTTTTTGATTATTTTTCTCTTGATGATTAATGTATAAAGTATTATATCTTTTTTCTGAATTATTGATTTTCATCGATTGGACATGCAGGTGAAAGTTGGAGTTCAGGGGGCTGAAGAATGTGGTGATTATGAAGAATGGTTTAATTATAGATTATCAAGAGCTGCCCGGAAACATGTGCGGAGTTCCTCGGAAATTTTGTTGCAGACAAAACAAACTCTCAGTTACGAAAGGGGGCAAGTGGCTTGTTTGGAAATGAGGTACTCACCAATTCAAATTATAATAAGCACTTCAAATACTAATTTGAAAGTCTTCCATATTCAACTTCCTTTGATTAGAAAAGTGTATTGCATGGTCACGAGGACTCTTGAGATGCAGAGCTATGGATGATAAACTTACTATTGAATTTATGGGCTTCGCATTAATGTTAGTGTATTTACTGAACGAATGATATGCCGTTTTATCATCTACTAAACGCAATACTAAATTTATGTTTTGCTACCGTTAGTTGATGTACAGAGTTTCTAAATTCATGTTTGCGCACTAATTGTAGGGATGTCCATGTGACAGGGAAATCGAAGTCTTGTGATTACATGAAAGACCGCAACTTCCCTTTTAACTTGGAGTCTTATATGTTCGGACGTGTGTTGGAAGGTGCAGATTCAACGAAAAGGAGTGCATTAATATCAAGCAAATAATGCGCCAAATTATTTCTTCCCTCAAAAAAATCCATGACACAGGCATTGTTCACCGGGATGTAAAGCCAGCCAATTTAGTAGTGACAAAGAAGGACAGATCAAGCTTATAGACTTGGAGCAGCTACTGATCTTCGGATTGGCAAAAATATGTACCCAACCGTACTCTGCTTGATCCTGATTATGTCCTCCTGAACTATATGGACTACCTGAGAAAACACCGTCCCCTCCTGAGCCTGTTGCTGCTTTTTTTTCTATTCGGCAGGTATTATAGCTTCCACCTTAATATATGCATGAATAAGATAGGAAAATTGTATCCTTGCGGATACATGGATTTCCTTTTGGAGCTATAGTAGAAACTGAATGTTGTCCAAAACATTACTAAAGTTGAGTTGAAATTATTGTTGCAGCTGAATAGTCCTGATCTGTTTGATATGTACTCGGGGGGATTGTACTCTTGCAAATGGCAATACCAACCTTGAGGTCTACTGCGGCTTAAAGATTTCAAGTGAAATAAAGACAGATGAATATGACTTGAATAAATGGAGAGAGTACACTCGGTTGAGGCGACTTCACTATTCTTGATCTTGACTCGGGTAGGGGTTGGGATCTAGCCACAAAGCTTATTTCAGAGAGAGGTTTCTCGGAAGAGGAGTCTATCAGCTGCTGCTGCTTTGAGGCATCCTTATTCTTGTTGGGTGGTGACCAGGCTGCTGCCATTCTTTCAAAATTTAGTTATCCAAGTAGTTACACTTGCGATGTGAGTACATTCTGATGAGGTTTCATTTGCACATCCTGATTTCTTTTTCTGTATATTTTTAGCTTTCGTAGGTTCAGAAGACATATATATCAAACTAAGTTATCATATTTGGAATGAGGCAATATTTATTTATAATACTTAGGTGGACAATGGATAAAGAAGTTTTGATAGTCATAAAAGTTTAATGGTACTTTTATGCATTTACAGCTTGTTATGCTGTTTGAGAGATCATTCTGCTTAACTATTATTTTGAGATAAAACATTTTTTTTTTCAGGGATGGAAGGATGAAAAAGAGTCGCGAAGTGAGTGGCACTATGACGTGTTTGCCAGTTGATCAAAGTATTTTTTTTTCACAACAGTGATTAATTAAGGTATGTGTTAACATATCTCTGTTTTGAAACTGTTGCTCACATACTCCTTGGCCTCTTTCTGCCAATACAAGAGGTCACAATGTTACTTTACATCATTTTGGGAAATTGAACATATCAAAGTTCACTCTTTTCCCCCCTTAAGAGTCTTTCTTGCAGTTTCAGTTAATCTTCTCTCTAAACCTTGTTAGCTTCCAATATTTGTTTCCTTAAAAGCATCATGCCAGTTGCCAAAGACTCTCTGCAGAGCTATGGAAAATTAAAGTTGTATACGAGATCGATCAAGTGAATCACAATTAAATGTTGATCATACATACCACTGTGTTTTTGTTATTTTGTAATGAGCATCAGGCCTCTAATGTATTGAAATTCTAGTTCGACATTATATCCTTTGCTCTTTGTCCATCTTTTACCGTACAATCACTGTGATCCTGATTCTTAAATTTTATCGAGGTTTTGTACAAGTTCTTCAAGTTATGTCAACAAACTTCCATATTATGTACCGTGATTTTTTTTTTTTTTTTTTTGTGTGTTGGGGGGGGGGGGGGGGGGGGGGGGGGGGGCATCGCCCAATTAGTTTTTTGCCCCTATCCTACCGCCTGGTGGATCGAACTCGGGTGGCTAGCCAAAGAAGGTAGCTGAATCCTATATGTATCATTTACTGGTAAAAGTCTTGAATTTCCTTGCATGCAACCACTCAGTGATGCAAATATGTTTCCCTATCGTTGCTCTTGCATTTGTGGAAACGGCAAATGCTATACCATAAATTTGAAGTTTGAGAAAGTGAGAAGTAGTTTGTTATATTTTTCATGTCATCAGCAACTATTGCTGCCTAAAGCTTTGCTATGAGGGTCTAAAATGACCCCTTTAACAACATCTAGCCTACTATGGAGGCTGTATTCTATACACTTTGATGAACATATTAGAAATAACCATAATGCAACAACTAGAAACAAGCTGGAAATTGTTTCCCCTGCAAGTGCGCAGCTAGGGGGTAAAAGCGCAATCCCTTGTGGCTTTGGTCTCGATATTGTTATAGAAAAGAATGCATACTCTCTTCCAGTCATTTATTCAAAACAAAATATCTGAAGAACATGAACCATACTGTACACAGTTCATACGTACCTTTAAAATAAGTATGCTGCAATTGCACACCAGCTGAAAAGTGTGATCCTGTAAAGCTTCCTTTGCCATACTTTTCTGTGAGTGCTCAAGTAAGGCCTTCATCTTTGGGACCTTCACAAAGCCGAAATGAACTTAACCATTCAATTACTGGTAAAATGACAGAAATGTTTCTAAACTTGAACTTGGAAGAGTCAGTTTGACAGTCAAAGGTGTATTGTTGTTATTACTGATGGAATTTGCAGAGAGCTTGAATCCAAATAATACTGACGAACAAAGAACTGTGTAGTTGAAACTGTCAGGTTATTGGAAAAACCAAAGAGAAGCTACAACACTCTCAAGTGACAAGAAGAGAAACCACAGACGGCAGATGGCTATAAATTTAATGCCAGTGAATTTACAGCCATATCCTATACAGATAGATCGTTTATCGAGGTGGTCTGATTTGTAATTTCTGTGAGAAATCCTAATATAATCAGGTACACCTCATTTCTAGTTCCTCCTCTCCCAGCAGTCAGTCGGTAGTAGTTTTTTTTTAGTGTTTCTGTTAGCCTTTTTTTTTCCGTTCTTTTAGCTTTGATTAATGTATTTCTTCTGAAATACATCAAATTTGTTTCAACCACCAGCTTGTATGACCTCGTGGTGTGCTGTGTGTTTCCTAGATGTTGCGGTGAGGAGAGTGTCCCATGTTAGACTTAGAGCTAAGTTTCTCTTCTGTACTGGAAACATGATTATTAAATAGCAATTTTCTTCTTTGGGCTTATTTCTTCAATGGTTTTTCAATATGCATTTGTGCTTTTCATGAATTTTTGAAATTAGAGCCATGAAAATGAGGAACTCTCTGTTTCTGGATGATATATAGTCAAAGAAGAGCGCAAACAATTTGAAATTTCAACCACTGCTATAATGAGACATTATAATAAATATTGTCTTCTCCAAGTGCAAGCACAATAAAAGAATTCAAACTAGAGCTTGAAAAAGCAAAACATTTATCTATTTCTCTTTCTCTGTAATTTCTTCTACGGGGCTCGAGCATGGACTCTGCAATGTGTTTTCACCCACGGATTCTTCTTCTTCTTCATCATCATCTTCACCACCCAAATTCTGAACACAAAAAACTTTCACTCATTTCAGTCAATTTGAAGAAACATCAAACATAGTTTGTTGGGTTCATTTTTAATTTACTCACATGGGAGATGGATTTTGCCACTCCGGTAATCCTCTTTTCTTGTTCTTTCTCTCTCAGAGATCGTATGGATGAAATCCTCTGATTAACGCAAACATTTATAAAAGTTAATAACTTGATTGAATTGAACCCAGAAAAAGAATGAGAATGAAAAGAAAAACGTAATCTTACCAAACAGTAAGACTTGAGTTCCTTTAATCTGTACAATCTATCAACTTCAATCTCCAGCATCTTCTGAGTATCCCCTCTGTATTGAAGCTCCTTCATTTGCATATCCAGCATCGTATCTCTTTCATTCAACATCTTCTCTGTTTTCTCTTTGTCCAATCTCAATCTCTCAAGCTTCTTTCTCATGGCGCTGAGTTCCTCCGCCAGCGACGCATCCAGTGATTCCAACTTTGTCACCACATGATTCTCCTCCTCTTTCTCCTTGTTCAGATCTCCAACCACAGGGATCTGATTCTGTTTCTGATCTATACATTCTTGCTTTTCCTTTGGCTTGTTCTTTATATTACTGGTGGGCGTTGAGACCAGCGAGTTCAGTGGCTGGAGAGGCTTCCGCCCGGACTTCGGCTTCAGCTTCTGTTCTCCGCCGGTGGTGGCAGTGACTGTCATTTTGAGGTTCTGGGTCATTTTTAGCATCTGGGTTATACAAGACTAAGGCTGACTGGGGGTGATGCTTATATACAGCATATATATATATTGGATGATAACAGGTTTAAATTTGGATGGAGCCAAAGCGCTAACGGCTACTTTATTAATATTTAATTTATCTTTTTGTTCTTTAGTAGAAGGGTGTGTGGGCCTGCTGCTACTGAATATTATTTCCGGATTCTCGATTTATTTTTCATTGAAAACAGTGAAATGACATTGACAAACGCTGATTTAGTTTAAACATTATGCACAAATTAAGGTATTAAGAGGTATCAATTTCTTCTATGAATCTTTTGGTCGATCTAATAAGAGATATAGAACCAGGTGAACTCTGTCCAAAATCAAATCCGACAATGGAGGTTTGGTTATTTTGAGTTTTGAAAGGGGCTTCTGTCCCTTTTGACTAACATTTGAAACCACTGGGTTAAAGTGAAGTTGCTCCATTCCTCTTTTAGTCTTGAAACGTGTAATCAGATGCAACAACAACATGGCCTATTTGTTGGTTAGAGCAGTGTTTTAAAACCCAGCCCGGCTCGATTGGTTGAACCGAGACTTAGGGCCTTCACCAGGTTGGGTTATAAATTTTTCTATTAATTGAAAACCCTAGAAATTAGGGCATCAGCACATGAACAATTGAATGTTGGGATGTTAAGGGGTTTTGAAAAGGACTAGTGAGTGGAATGATGGCGAAAGAGGTGATTTTAGGTGAGTGAATTGGTAAAAAATGGCAAAACTATGTCGCCAAAAGAAGGCAGTTGTTGCCAACAATTGGGGAGCTCTATTTTAAAAACCAGACCAGACCAGTTGGTCGGACCAGGACCCGACAGCTTCTCTGGTCCGGTTCAAGTTTTAGGAGGGTTTTTGTAATATTTTAAAATTATAAGGGTTAATTTGTAATTTTATAGGGATGTTTTGGAGATATGTTAAAAGTTTAGGGATTGATTGGTAATTTGTTTGGGGTATTTTTTAAATAAATAAAAATTTAAGGGATTAATTTAAATTTTTTTAGGGGAATTTTAATATATTAAAATTTGAGGGATTAATATGTAATTTTTTAAAAATAAAATTTTCACTGACGTCCTCAATCCAACCGGTTGGACCGGTTGACCCATGACCCAGACAACAAAACGGGTTAACCTCCGGTCTGGGTTTTAAAACAATGTTGGGAAGGCAAATAGGGGAAGGGTGAGATAAGTTTTGGTAAGGAGACTAAGGGAAATGTTTTTGTCGTGATAGGGAGTGTTGTTGTCACAAAAAACAAGCCCTATTTGCCAATACCGACGGTAGTGTTTGGAGTATTTTTGCAAGATTTCAAACCTATAGAGACTTATAGTAATTTTCAGAGGCATTTTTGTTAGATTTCAAACATTTGGACTCCGGTTTGATCCGCCGGTCAAACCGGTCAATCTGGGACCCAATCACTTTGCCGGCTTTCACCCCGGGTTGGTTTTTAAAACACTGTTTTAGAGTTTAGACCTGCATGGGCCAAATTTGATTTTTTATTCAATTTTCTGTGAAAATGTAAATTCATTAACAATTTAATAAAGCAGTTTATTAAAAATGTAAACTTGTATAAAGCAGTTCATATTTACACAACAGCAAAAGGGCATAAGATTTGCGGGGAGGGAAGCACATATCTACAAGTAAAAGGAAAGGGTGAAATGTGAAAAAAGCCCTGATGAGGAGTAGGAGGAGGGTCATAAGTAATCCATTGGAAGCTCCCAATCATCCTCTGCTTCTTCTCTCATCTTTGGATGGGATTTCTTCCTGCTGAAACCTCTCCGCGTGCGACGATCATCGTCAAATTTACCAGGCCTTTCAAAGTCTGCATATTCTCCAAGTTCATCTGTCAAAGTTCCCGGATTCTGGCTGTCCCAAATACCCTGGTACAACCATTTAAAGTTTTGATTATCTATCAGCTAAAATATAAATTTAATGCAATGACTTCAAATTTTTACAAGAAAATAAGGAGGTTTTTGCATATGCTGCAACTATACGTTTCTCTAAAACATAAGCTGTTTAGGAAACCTTGAATACCAAATGGTTGAGAATGTGCAACCAGGTTTGAATTACGAAATATGCAATTTTCTTTTCGGATAAGAACATGGAGAAGACAATTATCAAACCAGAAACTAGTAATTGGTAAAACATCAATCTGATTACATCTCTTTTCACCGAGGGTGTGGTATCGTGTCATATTGTATGCTTACATACACGCATCAACAAATGACTGTCTAAATGCTTAACTAGTACGTACCACTTGAAGCAGGGAAAAGCATTAGTCTACAGTGTTCAGTGTGAGTGATAGAATCATCTTCATGGGCAAAACTTACTGGAAATTAAGATATTTTTAGCATCACAAAGAACCCTATTACAAATAAAGTCAAGACAAAGCATGACTAACAGCTTCATCATAAACTGAAGGTGAAGTTACCTTTGTTAGCCTTTGTATATGCGAGGCTGCAGCTTCGTGAACAACAATCGTGTCAGCTATAACTTGGAGCACATCTTCTACGTGCAAAGCATAAGTACTAACCTGGAAAAATGACAAGCAGATTGCATTTGAGTTTCCTATAGGAACTCATTTGAACAAGAAGATAATATCAATATATCCAATACATTGAAGTGAGGATTGTGTCTGATCATGCAGCATAGTATATGGAGGTATTTTTTTCTCTATTAAATAAAGTAAGAACCAGCAACCCACCAAACTTGATGGAATAATCGATATCCCAAATGAATCGAGCTCCAGTGATTCAACAGACCCTGAATTAATGTTGAAAGTGTATCCTCGCACCTAGATTGCACAATCCATATGATAAGAAAAATTTGACCCAAACATGATATATGCAGGATTTGGTGCTGAAATTTGGTTTTACCTTCCCAATGTTCCGCTTACCTGGAGTTACAACTCTGTATCCTACCTAACAAAAATCAGAGATTAAAAGCCTTAAAATTAAATAATGAATAAAAGGGCAGAGTGACAACTACTGCAATATGGGGTGGCCTGGCAAACCACATACATACCAATGTATCAAGTCCAACCATTTTGAAATCTTTTTCTGTTACTGTCTCATCCTCGACAAGCACAACATCACCAACCTGTAAAAAATAATACATTGAATACTCTGTTCAAGACCCAAATGAGGTTCATAAACTACAAACTAGACAAATAACCAAAAGAAATGGCTTGTATCTTCAGTATACAGCGTAATCCTCCGCATAAATATCAGCAGTATGAAAATATATGGTCAAGGGTAACTAACACCGCAACAGTATATATACTCATATGATAGATCCTTAGACCCTAAACCATGAATTTAACTAACCAAGCAGTATATATACCACTATCCACAAGAGTGACTGTTCTTATCATCCATAAAACTAATAAAACATAAACCAAAACAACTCTCAAACTAAACCATAAGTTTATGTCAAAGGTGTATAAAGCTTCAAAATTTGCTAGCCATATATGCACAAGTATAAAAAATACCTGGCTAACATCTTCAAGAAGAAACCTTTCTGATTCACCAGAAAGCAAGTTTGGCCTCACTTCAACTACCAATACAACCCACTAAAGAGAAACAAAACAAAGCACAAAATGAGCATCTGGGTTTTATAGATAACAAAAAATTACATAATTTTGTACCAACAAATGATGAATTAATTAACTTACAGAAGTTGTGTCCACCCAAAGTTGAGAGACATAACCTAAAGAAACGGCAGATTGAATACTGATGACTTGCTTTGCTAACATATTGGATCTCCTCATCAATTGTTTTCCTCTCCTCAACCTTGGTCTTTCTAAACCAACACTATTCTCATCTTCACTCTTTTGGCCCTTCTTCTCTTCCCTCAATTCAACAATTTCTCTTCCATTTTCAACAGTAGAAGAGTTCATACCAACCTTTTCCTTGAACTCCAATTCACCAAACATGTCCTGATTCTGGCTGCCATTTTTGCTTGTGTTGGGTTTAAAACTGCACATAAAAAGCTGTAACTTGCCATTTCTAATATTTGCATTGTTTGGTCTCAACTTACTAGATAAAGTTCCGAACTTTGAGCCACAAAGAGAAGAGGATAAAGGGATTGAGCTTAAGAACTCACTCATCCTAAAGAAAAACCCTAAATTGCAATCCCAATTTTACTTACAGGAGGCCCCCAAAAAATTTATCAACTGCTGGAAATTCTCCTCCTGTAATATGAAAGCTGTGACATAATTAGAAAGGAAATTTCCAAAGGGAGGAGACTTAGAGGTTTTTGTGGATAAAAGATGAGAATTTAATAGGATAATAAAAAGCAATTTCTAATTAATTATTTATAATACTTATCTTATTATTTTTCCAAATTTTATAACTTTAAAATATTTTATCTTTGGGAGATTTTGTGATTCTTGAGATCTTTCTTACATAATTTTTCTCATTTATCAAACACTTCATACTATTCAAACTTTTTTATATCTTAAACGGTAAGAATTGATTGGTAATTCACTATGATTATAAGATCATGTGCAATTGATATTCGACAAGTTTTTTATTTATATATTATATATATATATATATATATATATATATAGATATATATTATATTATAACAGATGTTCTGGACAGCTTGTACGTATCTTAATTAATCTCGAGTATATTAGATACCCTATAACTCAAAGGTCGGTAAGTCACAAATATCCTATACACAAAGCGGTAGGTAATGAATCCTTTACAAGTTCAATGGACAGGGTAAGTCACAAATGGGGTTCCTATCTCAATTTAGAATAAATAATCCATGAACTTTATCGGTTAAGCGATTTAACACATATCGCTTAAGCGATAAGCTTATAGATAAACCTACATACGCTTAAGCGATAAGACTATATTGCTTAAGCGATGATCATTTAGTAAAGCGTTTCATACTTATGACTATTTAATCTCTTCCAAACTTGAAAATAATATTTTAATTAATTTTCTCGTAATAAATATATAAGC